TTTATTAGTTCCCATAATAGAAGAACTAGAGGACACCAAATGAAATTAATGGGTAGCAGGTTTAAAACTAATAAAAGAAAGTTCTTCTTCACACAGCGTGTAGTCAATCTGTGGAACTCCTTGCCAGAGGAGGCTGTGAAGGCTAGGACTATAACAGAGTTTAAAGAGAAGCTAGATAATTTCATGGAGGTTAGGTCCATAAAAGGCTATTAGCCAGGGGATAAAATGGTGTCCCTGGCCTCTGTTTGTCAGAGGCTGAAGATGGATGGCAGGAGACAAATCACTTGATCATTGTCTTCGGTCCACCCCGTCTGGGGCACCTGGTGCTGGCCACTGTCGGCAGACAGGACACTGGGCTAGATGGACCTTTGGTCTGACCCTTCATGGAGGTTAGGTCCATAAAAGGCTATTAGCCAGGGGATAAAATGGTGTCCCTGGCCTCTGTTTGTCAGAGGCTGAAGATGGATGGCAGGAGACAAATCACTTGATCATTGTCTTCGGTCCACCCCGTCTGGGGCACCTGGTGCTGGCCACTGTCGGCAGACAGGACACTGGGCTAGATGGACCTTTGGTCTGACCCAGTACAGCCATTCTTATGTTCGTATGATCTAAAGTACCCCTATTGAGCCTCTGATAACACAGCACTCCCCAGCCCTACCCTGAGGCTTTGAGGTAACAGTGATTGTGAGGGGAAAGTCCCTTACTGATGCCCCACCCTGCTAATCTGCAATGCAGCATCCACAGGCATCACATGGGAGTACTGGTGTCCGTGCTGACACGGCATCCCGAGATGTTACGATCTTGCCTCGCTTCCCATAGCTCTGCCAATGCACTGCCCTTTGTCTCCCTCTCACACAGAGTGTGGTGGGTCCATGTGTGTCTGCAGGGCCAGCCACTCAGAATGACCCGTGATTAATAATGGTTTCATTTCCCCGGGCAGGGGACTCCGGGTGCAGACTCTGCCCCATGCACTGGATACCGCACAGGGACAAGTGCTACTGGCTGTCTGATGGGAGTACGTACTGGAGCAGGAGCCGGGATGACTGCACACAGAGGAGATCTCACCTGCTAGTGATCCAGGACCAGGAGGAGATGGTAAAGAACGTGCTGAACTCCCCTCTCCCCTATTCACGTCCTTGTCGATTACAACAGGTCACAAAACCCTCCTTTGATTTTTGTCAGCCACATTTTAATCTGCAATTTAAAAAAAAATTTCACTGCATTTTTTGGGGGGAATTTTGAAAGAATCTCTATTTTTAAATTAGTTTTTTTAAATGTCAGTGATAATGCCCAGTTGTGCAAAAAAATGAATTGTAAGCATTTTTTTTAATCCATTTATATTTTCACAGTTGTGGGAAAGATTCCTGCAGAGTCAGACTCTTTCAATACAGAACTCTGCCCTTTCTGGAAAGAGCTGCAGTCAGTGGATAACCCTTGAGAAGTTTGCCCGGAGCTGAAAAGCTAGATAGTGTTTATTGGAGCCATGTTTTTTTTTTAAAGTTCAGCACAAGAATATTAAAAAGTTCACTCAAAAATGGAGATTGTTGGCTAAAGTTTACTAAAATTTTTAAATACAATTAATCAAAATCTGGGTGGAAGGGCACAGAACCAACTCAGTTATTAATTAATAGTATAATTGTCTATTATCTTTACTTTTCATTGGTGTTTCAGCAGGTCATGATTTGTCACCTATATTAATGATCAGAGCCCAAGCCAGAAATCAGGTTTCATTTGCATGGTGAGCTAAGGAGCCAGAGAAGTCTGCCTTTTTCTGTTCCCTCTGATACCTTGTCAATTTTACAGGCATTCATACAGAATATTACAGGAGATCAAAATCTAATGTGGATTGGACTCAATGTCACACTTCCCGGGAAGAACTGGTCCTGGGTGGATGGTTCCCCCTTAAATCAAACACTGTGAGTATTTCCTGATTAGTATTTTACTTCACTCTGAATTAATTATGTAGCGTGAAATCCCAGGCCTCATTAAAGTCAAGAGCAAATTTGTCACGGGGCAAGGATTTCATCCACTAAATCTTACAGTATAAAGGCCTCAATCCAGCAGACATACTTGTGTTAAACTTGAAATTTCATTGAAGTGAATGTATGCCTGGGAGAAAGGAAAGCAAGTACTGTACATACATGTTTGCTTGGCCTCTTCAGTCCTTAGTAGAAGTAGCAACAAAATGGGGGGAAACATATTTTTCCCATCTGTCCTTGCTATTGTTGTTTTTTTTATCAGCTTTGGAGATTTCAGAATTGCTGTCAAAACTGAGACAGTTCCAGGTACCCCAATAGTTGGGCAAAAATCTAGAAAATAGGTCACACCAAAAAATGAAATCTTCTCCAACTGATATTTGAAATTGACTCAACTTTCATGTAAGTTTCAAAAGCTGAACATTCCCACCTAAAGTTAGACTCCTCTGAGGTAGCACTCTGATTAATTACTTTGTGGTCAGTTTCATAAACACCTGTCCCTCAGGGTTGGATAGAAAGGCACCAACCCCTTTTACTTATTAGCTTATGTAGAGAAAGTCTAGATAGGACCGCTGGACTCCTACGTCCTCCAAGGAAGGAGAAAAGCCTCTGTTCTCTTCCTCTAACCCCACTGATGTGACTGTCTCCTTCACTCTGTAGATTCACGGTATCTGGGCTTGTGGATGAGAGGAGCTGTGCTGCAATAAAGAAGCATGGGATAGAGTCTGAAATCTGCAACACTGACCTGAAATGGATTTGCCAGAAGAAAGCTGTGATCCTTTAAACAGGTGGCTCATAACCCCTGATAGCAGACATGGAATACAGAACCTACTGCGTGTTCCTCTTTCTTTCGGCCTACAAACCCTCAGGAGGTATCAATCTGGACAGTGCCGAGAAAGTGAGGGGTGCGATACTGACGTATTCCAGTTGGGAGTCTGGGCCCATTGACTCCAATGGAGTTAGAGCTAATTAATACCATTATTTTATTTTAAAAAATAAATCAACAATTTTGTTCAGACTTTTAAAAAAAATCTTAATGCCTGGGACATTATTTTGTGTATTATGGTAGTGCCTAGAAGCCAACTAAGTTGGGCACTGCACAGACATAGGGAGAGGCAGTCCCTGTCCCGGCTGAGATCAGGGCCCCGTTTTGCCGAGCGCTGCACAGACACAGCGAGAGACAGTGTATTATGGTAGTGCCTAGAAGCCAACTAAGTTGGGCACTGCACAGACATAGGGAGAGGCAGTCCCTGTCCCGGCTGAGATCAGGGCCCCGTTGTGCCGGGCGCTGCACAGACACAGCGAGAGACAGTCCCTACCCCAGCTGAGATCAGGACCCTGTTTTGCTGAGGGCTGCACAGACACAGCGAGAGACAGTCCCTGCCCCAGCTGAGATCAGGGCCCCATTCTCAGCACCCCGGACTCCCATTCCCTTACGGATGGTCTTGCTTCTCAGAAAGATGCACAAACAAGGGAACTGAACTCGGGTGCAGATTTTGGCCTTTATACAACGTGAGCAAAATAAAGTGAAATGCCAGAAACTCAAGGGGGAAAAAACTCAGTCGATTCTGAAAGCCAAAGACCATTCCAATCATCTAATTTGACTTCCTGCATGCCACCGGCCAGAGAACCTCATCCAGCAATTCCAGACTGGAACTCATTACGTATAAGCGACAGACCTTCGACCAAACTAATCTTGAGTCTAAGAACTCCAGTGACCGCAAATTCAGCATGTCCCTCGGTAAGTTGTTCCGATGGCGAATTCTACTACCTGCTGAAAAAGGAACCAGAGCTCTATGCAGAATGTGTAGCTGTATGGGGCACCTGAAAATTTGAGGCACCGCTGGGTCTTGATGTCCACTTACCCCCCTGCTTCTTCCTATCTCTTTTTGGTGGTTCTGCTTCCTCTGGAGGAAATCTAGCTAACTTGAAAGTGACACAGCCTGCCAGAGCTCTTAACAGAACCTGTGACAGACCCAGAGCTATTGAAGTGGCATTTGTGAACTCCAGGTACATACAGTCAGTGTGCAAATTGACAGTGAGAGTCGACAGGACGTTAGTTTGAAATTTGCTTTAAACTATTTCATTGGTATGATTATAAAATTCCATCTCTACAAATCTGTCATTTCCCAAGCTACCGTCTGGCACAGGGGGTACCAGTTTAACAGTGCTACGTAGGGCCCCATGGATCCTACAGACAGCTCTGAATGTGACCCCTTATTTGCAGTCTGAATTGGTCTTGTTCGCCTTACAGTCCTGGGCTCTTTTTCTGCAGTAGACTAAAGAGATCTCGACCTGACATCCTTTTCCCACCTAGACTGTGAATAAGTCTCCCCCATAACCTTCTGCGTGATAAGCTAAACACATTGACCTCTTTACCGTCCTTTAACCCCTTCTTGCAGCTCTCTGAGAAGGCTGCACTTTTTCAGCTGTTTTGAAAGAGATGGCTTTGGCAGCGTGAGGAAGGAGGTTTAAAAAAACACCCCCGCCGCTTCTCTAAAAGTGTGACTCAAAGTTATCACTCAAACTTGAACGCCTCCAGAGCACAGCAGACCACAAAAGAGCAGCGATCGCTTTCTTCGGGCCATCAAAAAAGACACGCCGCAACCTTTCACTGCACCTGCAAGATGCTTCTCCGAAATGCTCATTAGAATAAGTTGTGAGCAGGAGCCGAAGGAAGCCAGAAACAGGAGGGAGACCCTTGGGTGGGTCTGAGTAAATGCAGCTGACACCAGCATTGCACAGACGTGTTCGACATTCAGCTAACGGAGCTGGGGTTTGCTCATTGTAATCAGAAGAACATAAGAACGGCCGTACTGGGTCAGACCAAAGGTCCATCTAGCCCAGTAGCCTGTCTGCCGACAGCAGCCAGCACTAGGTGCCCCAGAGGGGGTGGACTGAAGACAATGATCAAGCGATTTGTCTCCTGCCATCCCTCTCCAGCCTCTGACAAACAGAGGCCAGGACACCATTTCTATCCCCTGGGTTTTATGGATCTAACCTCCATGAAATTATCTAGCTTCTCTTTAAACTAGACACGCACACCCACTAACAGAGCACACCTGAGAGGACTGGGGAACCAGCACTGACCCCTCATCTATCCCTGGACTCAGCAGGCTGGGTTTAACAGCAATGCCACACTGCACCCTCATGAGCCTTTGGACTCAGGGGGCTGGATTAAACAGCACTTTAAGCTGCCATCCTCATACGCCCCCAGGTTCAGCACCCCCTATCCCCACTTTCACCCCATAGTCATTCACTGGTAAACCACACGGTGAGCAAACCCCACAGGATTTTGGGCAAAACAGGGATCTTTAGCTTGGGTAGAAGAAGCGTTGTTGCAGAGCAAATGGAGAAGCCAAAGTACCACCCCTTGAGGAAGAGTGAGTGAAAGAGAAAGAAAGAGAGAGAAGCAACCAACTTAACAATGAAAGTGATTTATTTCTGAGTAGTGAACAGATCTCAAACAGTTACAATATTAAATCTAAATTGAAACGGATTACAAACGTTAGGTAACCATAGAACAGTTTACATAGGGCAGGGTCAGGAGTCTATGTTTAGAGAGGTAGTTGATGGGAGAGAGAGAGAGATAGAGAGAGAGAGAGATACCTCAACACTCCGTAGAGCTTGCACTGATCGGGGTTCCCAGATGATGATGGTAGCTGGGGGTCCAGAGGGCAGGAGACAAGCAGAACAGAGCCCCCAGCATGATCAGACAGGAGATGACGAAGTCTCAATGGAACTGATGCAGTTTAAATCCAGGTATCAGAACAGTTTTTCTTGGGGCAAGGAGAGGAGTTTTTATAGGGCTAGGACAATAGTTCAAATAGACACTGATCACCCTTGGTGATGGGGGATGTTCCTTGAACAAGCTCATAATGCAACTAGGCAGTTTCAGTATTTTAGATGTCCATAGGATCATTACTAAAATTGGTCTGATAATGACTAATTTGGGTGTGAGCAGACCTGGGTTCATCAGCATCTGGAGTAGAGATTTCCCATCAGGCAGTGCTTCTCTGCTTTTGGTATCCCATAGTTCACTGCGGTTCCTGCCTTGGAAGAGCTGGTCTCCATTCTGTATGCTAATGAGTTCTGTCTTCAATGCAGATGAGGCTGGGGTGTTTCCTTAATTAGTTTAGCTGTGTCTTCCCCGGCCTTTTCCTTGCTTTGTCTGATTCTATCAAAGGCTTAGGGGATGGGTTTCCATGAATGTCACTCCCTGGCTCCCAAGAGCACAGGGCTGGTAGGTAACAATTGCATTGGTGCTAACTCAAATCCCAAGATCGGCGCCAGAAAGCCTTCACATGGGTAACAGCACTACCACTGTGTAAGAATGTGTAGCAAGTTGCTAGCCACAGTGCAAGTTCCCCTTGATTGTTCTTTCTGGGTTCAGTCCTCCTTCTTCTCACATCTCCAGCAGGAGAGAATTTTCTCAGCTAATTAGCACTCTAATGAAACAGTTGTTCAGTTAATAAAAAAATTAGATACGGGCAAAGCAAAAAAGGAATTGCTTTGCAAATGAGCCCTTCTCTTCTGCTGGAGCTCCCACTCAGTTTGAATGCCACAAAATACCACTTCCCTCTCAGGCTAAATCCTCAATGCTTATACTATGGATTTCTTCCTGCCCGGGGCCATGGGCCACTTACAAGTGCTCAAGGGTCATCCTGATAGTAAGTCAACCCCATTGTTATTGTGGTGTCCTATTGTGGTGAGCCACATTGTGTAAGGCCCTGGACCAGTGCGGCTCACGAATCATCCCACTGGGTCACGAAGCCACCCCAGCGCCCTGTGCTCACTGGGTGCTCCCTTTGCTGAGCCATCCAGTGTGGCAAAGCAAAATGACACCAGCAAGGGTGCCAGCGAGCAGGAGGCTGGCAAGTGACC